CTCTCTCTCTCTCTCTCTCTCTCTCTCTCTCTCTCTCTCTCTCTCGCAAAACAATCATTCATTTTGATTGAAAAATATGTAATCAAAAGTGAAAATTAGGTAAGAATTGATTAAATTAAGCAAAAAAACGATTGTTTATTCCGGGCTTCACTTTCACGTCAGTTAAAGAAACCCCAGAAAACAAAACACAAAATCGATTAAAACATAATTCAATTAAATTTGAGATTATTATAGAAGTGAAGAGCGTTTGAGTCGACGATAACGCTATTGGGATTGAAATCAATAATCCGGATGTTTGACAGTGTCTTACAGCGGGAGAGCGCGACGTATGTCTGTCCGCATTCAAACACTCGCGCCAATGAGATCTCCACCCCGTTATCGATAGTCATTCCCTGCGACTTATGGATAGACAGAGCCCACGACAGCTGCAGCGGAAGGTGTCGTCGCGACACAAACCTATCGTTTGCCACTCTTATGACCCAATTCTCGCGTTTGATGACCGCTTCGCAGCCGTTGACGAACTGAATGCGGGGGTAAAGGCGTCCGTCGCTCTTCTCTCTCTCCATTTTCATCACTTTGCCGTTCAGTCCGTTCACGAGTCCGCGACCGACGTCTATATTCCGGTTGAGCATCACTTGAGCGCCAACTTTGAGCTCAAGAGTGCGCGCCGTCGGACACATGCCGTCGAAGAGGGGCGCGTACTTCGGGTCGCTGTCTTCGGCGGTAAACACGACGGCTTTGCTGTCAATGCTATTCAACTGTTTGGTGTTAATGAGGTCGACGTCATTGCGATGCGTGAAGAGTCGTGTGGGACACAAGTCCTTGCAATTGAGATCATTGTTGTAAGTGTTGAGTATTTGAGTGGTCATCGATTGGTCGCAATTTCCTATACGAATGTTTTGCAATAATTTGATAAACGTTTTGTCGGTTTGTCTCTTGACGTGACTTAATTCAAACGAATTGGTGATGCATTGATCCCAAGACGCGCTCTGAAAGGCGAAACACTTCTCCTCATCCCTGCGAGTGATGGGCGGTAACTGAAGAAAGTCTCCGCAGACGACCACTTGAATGCCGCCGAAGGGTTGGTCGCAATTGCGGACAATTTTGGCCACACTATCGACTAATTGAAAGTATTTGCCGCAAACCATCGATATCTCGTCGATCACAAGGCATTTGCATTTCCGCCAGCGATTCAGTTTGGATGCGTTGGCCATCAATGTCTTCGCACACTCTTCAGCAGTGCCTTTGCGGCTCTGGTCGGGCGTCAGACCCGTAAACATATGCAAAGTCATGCCTCCGATATGGGAGGCGGCGATCCCAGTGCTGGCCGTCACGTAAGTGGTGTCCGGCGCCAGACGTGCGATAATAAACCGCAACAGAAACGACTTCCCGGTGCCGGCGCTGCCCGTGAAGAACACGTTCCGGCCGTCAACTACGGCAGCCATCACTCGTCTCTGTTCGTTAGTCAACCCATTCTCGTTCAACAGTTTCATGTGTCTCACCGGCGATGGTATGAGCGCTGCGATGGCCGCGCGTTTGGCGCCCGGACTCCGGTTCTCGTCATTGACGGCCAGTTTTCGTTTTGTTAAACCCTTTCTGTCGTAAGTTTTGGTCGATTTGGGCGACTCGTAGACAGTCTTCACGTTTCGCTCGTTTTGTTTGCTTTTCAGCAAAACGTTTCGTTTGATGTCTTTGTCAGTCAATGGACTCATTTCGTCGAACACTGACTGCTTGTCGGCAACCAATCGGCGCCTAATGTCTTGTCCACCACTTGTGTGGCCATCGCTTCGCTTATAATAATCGCATTTAAAGACAAAACACTTGAGAAAGAGAGACAACTGATTGGACGGACAGTTGGACAGAAAGATCCGTACGTTTGGATCCATTAGAGTGACACTGGCTTTGCCTTCGGCCACAAACCGTGTGTTGAGTTTGTAATTGAGTTTATCGGCCAATAGTGTGAACTCTCGGATCCGTTTCCCACACTTCCTGTCGTCGATTCTGATGATAGTGTCTCTGAACTCATTCCTCCCGAGGCTTACCATCGCTTCGGAGACCACACACCGATTGGCCAGACTCTGGTCCCGACGACAATAGGTCTCAATAGACACACAACACATGAGTTTTGGGATTTCAACACTCATTGCAAACACACTATTAAATCATACGTTAATTACAAACAAAACACAAATCATGTGTTAATTAATGAAAACAATGAAATAATTGTCTCTTTTTTGTGTGTATTTTGTTTGAAAAGTTTAAATGCATTTTTAAAACCCAATGAACTGAACGCTGATTGGCTGACAGAGACAACTGCCCGGCCGTTGCTGTGAGTGATTGCCAGCACAACAGCACAATCCCTGACACAGCATATGCTCAGCACTTGAGTGCCATCTCTTGTCTCAATGTGTTGTGAATTAAATGAAACTTTTTTGTGGCTATAATTTCTGTGATTATCTCCTTTTCAATGCATTTAATGCTTTATTTTACACTTTTTTGTTTCATTCAATACCTAAACGTATAAATCGATTGCAGTTATCAATGCATGTGATTAATGATGTAATGATCGCGGCTTTAGATGACATCAATTAGTTTTGATTAAACACTTGATTGAGTTTTGCACATAAAATGCTGAGTCCGACCATCACTAGTGTCTTAATACCGAGATATCATGCGATAACTATCACCCGATATGCGATATATGCCTTTTCCCGTCACTTATGCCTCGTTTAAGTGGTATTTCATTAAAACACTATTAAAACCCATTATCTCTTTGTTTGCGAGATTTTATTAAGAAATTAATTTTTAACACAACTATTGAATAGAAAATATATTGTGTTATAATAAAGAAAAGTATTATTTTATTTATTTTTATCTTAATTGGAAAATTAAGAAACAAAAAGTTTTTTAAAGTTATTATTTTAAAAGTATTTCCTGTATTAAAGTTATAATTTTTAGAAAGTTTGCTTTCTTATTATTTTATTGCTATTTGTTATGATTTATTAAATAAATTGTTTTATAGTTCTCTAAATAATATGTTGTGTTGTTTTGAATTAATTGAAAATTGTCTTTAAACTTATAATTATTAAAAGTTTTGTTATTTTTATAGACTTTTAAATTGTAATTCATGTAATTATAAATATATATAAATTTTATTTAATATATTTATAATATAAAGTATGTATTTATTTATTAGTAAATTATTTATAATAATATAGTTTTATTTAAACCAATTAACTCGTTCTTATTTATTACAAATATTAAAACTTTTAAGTAAATCGATAAAAGTTTTATAATTTTAATTTTAAAAATTCAATTACTATCCAAAATGTTGTTTAATAAACAAAAGTAAGTGTATTAAATATTTTTTGTTTTGTTTGAAAATTGATTTTCCGCTTGATTTATGTCCAAATTAAACACATTAACCAATATTATGAGCAAAACGTATTGAACGACAATTTAAATGATTATCAAATCAATATATAGACCATTGGATTAGATTCCCATATAATTAGTTATAAAACAAACTTGAATTTAGCGATCATTTTCTCACACATTAATAAGAAATTGAAAATAATTTTTTATTATCGTTGAGAAAATTATTACAATAAAGAGTCCGTAATTTGAAGCCAAAGAAAACAATACAACAAATGAAAAACTATTATTTTTCACTTTTCCAAACAAAAAGCGCACAAATGATTGCGAGAATGAAAAAGTCATTTCGGTTGAGACTATATGACATTTGTTTTGCCACAAATTCTTGGCTTCTTTGGTGTATAAAGTGGTTATTATAGAAAGTAAGTCACAAACAGATCTTATACATACACTGTATATACCGTAGGGCTCATCGTGTATGTAGTCTATGGTTTAGATGACCTGCTTTATGCTTGTTGTGTGACATCTAATATAATAGACAAACTATTGGTACGGAACGGCCTATCAATTCAATTTGATATCTTTATGTCCGTATCTGTTATTAAATTGATTTTTGCCCAAAAGAGAGTAAATATCATTATATTGGTTGACGTTTTGCGCGATTTTTATATTCTTCTTCTTTGCACTTATTATATGCGATAATAAATTAATTGCATGTCAAGTGTTATGTCTGGTTAAACGCATAAGTGTTTAAATGCTAACCGACAAGTGATCGTCCGTTCATATCCCGAGTCAACACCACTTACATTAAGACACGAGTCAACCAAAAACTCTTCTCACTTTCATTTTAAAAAATGTTTTTTAATTTTGTTTTATAGTCACGAATCAATTTTTGTGTTTTTGAAAAACGGTGTTTACCATTACTTTTTTGCCAATTAGTTGTACACTAAATATAACTTTTAATATGAAATTTGTGAGTAAATTGTGAATATAAATAGCAATTCAATTTAAATGTATAATTTTTGTGTAATTTCAGATAATTTTGTCACTTTTATGTCTGCATTTGTTGCACTCATTGCTTGAAGTCGATTGCGGAGGACATGGCATGAGAACTCAATATCACGAACAGGTCTTATCTCTTAATAAATTTAATTTAAAAATGTCTATATCTTACATAAACTCATCAGTTAGAAAAAATACTAAATCTAACTAGTACATTAATTTTACGTTATATGGTTCATTTCGGTAATCATTAAATTGCAGGGTTTGGATAATCCGCACAGTTATAAGTTTGGTTACACCACAGGAGACCACTATAATCCTCAGTCTCGACACGAAGTGAGGTAAGCATTTTCAAGAGGAAGTTCATTGAAGAAAAAGCCATTAATTCAAACGTGTATTTTTATAATCATTTATGAAATGAATTGATGACATGATTTACTAAATTGCAAATGTATGGCACAGTCACGGACCGGGACATGTGAAGGGCTCGTACTCTTTCCGCGACCCACACGGAAAAATACACGTGAGTTAACCCCCAGACAGCCGTACAGACAGTTATGATTACCCCTTATCTGTCAAAATCCTATCACTGATTATATTTATGAGTTTCCATATGAGAGAAAAGTAGTGAATTTGTTTTTATTTTTAATAATGTTAATTTATTAATGTTATTTAAAAGTCTGTTAAAGTTTTAAGAAATATATAAATCGTAAAAGGGTCAATTTATATTATATTAACATAATGTTTTAATATATCATTTTAATTGTTAATTTAATATAATTTATAAATTATGCCGTAATGTAATGTAATATTCTCTTAATGTTAAGATTATTTTTGTATAATTAAAGGCAATAGAGAAGACACATGAAATTTCATACATCAATAGATTTTTAGTTTTTAATCCTTAAAATTAGTTCATTTGCCAAATGATATGGGAATTGAAATCTGGAGAAATATTAGTGACTTTTTATGAATATATTTTTGACAATTTAAAAAACTATTGAAAATGATTTGCAAAACTTTTTGAAGCGCGACAAACAATTAACATTAAATTGATTTCTATTGTATAATTGAAATAATTATAATTAATAATCAACAAAATGTATGCAATGGTTAACACACAGGTTGTTCACTATGAGGCACATCCCAAGTATGGCTTTCGGACGCACCATAAGAAAGGCAAACGTTAAATCTAACTAACATTAGCCCTTTTTTGTTAATAAAAATACGTTTATTTATATCCCAAACATAATTACCATGTTATTGACATTTGTATAAACTTATTGAATAAAATAAATATTTATTCCTTTATTTAAAATTCAATTATTTAAGAAAATACACAAATATTTTTGTAAAAATGAACATTAAATTGACATTAAATATGCGTTTAGAAAGAAAATGTATGTAAAATATGTTTTTGAAACAAGCAATAAAATGCTTATATTTGTTATTTATTCCCAAATAAATCATAATGTTTTAAAAATGAAGTATTATTTTGTATTATATAATAATAATAAGTTAATAAATAATTTTGTATTTTTTATTGTTGTTAATTTCCAAAAATAAAGATTATTTTATTTTAAGTACACTTTTCTATTAAAATTTTTTCATTTATTGTCGCAAATCATATGCTTTTGTCAGTAAAAGCACTTCAAACGACAACACAATTGAAATTAGAAAAAATTTAATTTCAAAAGAAGTGTTGTATTCCTTATTGAATCGTATAATTGGCGACAAAAACCAGATTTTCTCTTAAAGACACGATTGGGGTTTGTTTTTGCGAAATTTAATATACCTTTTCTCACATCAATATCTATTTGTTACACAATGTGCTGAAAAATTGGTGTAAATATCTCTAACACATATAAGTTATGAAAATAATACGAAATGTCTATTCTTATTGCTATTTCTATTACTATTATTATTTAATTGATTTAAATATGACACAAATTGCAGAGTCGATGGACTTTTTGTTGATGGTATTTGTCGCGACTCATCATTGGAGAGCTCGACATCAATATCTTCATCAATAGGTCTATTGTACTGCCGTTTGTTACCATAGGATGACTGGGGCTGACGGTGTTGGTGGCGATGCCGGCCCTCTCCTCCATAACCATTTGAATCCCTTCGATGGTTATGAGAGTGCGGCAAATGATTGTGTGAATTATGATTATTGTTATTATAGTTATTGTGATGTCGGCTGTGATGATGACTGTGCGATGGATGACGACCGCCGTTGCCCTCATAATTGCTGTTAGGGTTGGGTCTGTCGTCGTCCTCATCGCTATCGTCGTTGTATTCATTGCCACTTCTTTTCCCATCATTACTGGTGTCACCGCTTTGTTGCCTATTATTGTCACTCTTATCGTTATCATATAAGTTGGCATTTTTATGGTATAATTTTTCACTATTCTCGCAGTTAACGTTATACCACCACTCGCACACCAATGACTCTAGATAAATCAATTACATTTACCATTATTAATATTGCCAATTATTGTTCTGATCGTTCATTTCATTTGCTCTCAATATTCATAAACAAATATTTGTTTTTCTATCTCTTTAATGACTTAATTTTGTTTTTTGTTTGTTTGCCTTTGATTTGAATGTATAATGAGTTTGATTTATTTGTTAATTAAGATGTTGTGTCGGAATATAATTATAAATTAATATGTATATAAAATATTTGTTGTTAATCGCAATACAACCGGAATTCAATATTAAATGTGTATAATTATATATTTGATAATTTATATAATTATTGAGTTAACAATATATTAATGATTTACTGTATAGACAGTTCACGTAACATGTGATACATATTGAATGTATTGATTTTGTTAATTATCATTAAATTATAACAAATACTAATTAACGAAACTAAATAACTCTTAAAGATATTTATCATTTATTTTTAATGTTTTAAAACTATATCAATATTTTTAAGGAATTAATCGTTTTTTTAACTACAGATGAAATCAATATTTAGTAATCAATAAGTAATAAATATATAGTAATTATTGTAAAAATGATTTAAAACTACTTTTTATTAATGACATTCAAACGAGAGTAACGATTTGAAACCACTTAATAGCGATATATTATCTAAAGTATACTAAAAACGGGATTATGTTTTCAATTTGTTGTTATTTATGAGAATTTCAATGAAATGAGTGATAAAATGTTTTATTTTCGTAAATTGCTATAATTTGGCAAAAACTATATAATTTTTTTCAACTCAGGCTATCATTTATTTGATAATCAATGGTAATCAACAGATGAACTATTAAATTATTCAAACCTAAGCACTAATTGTCTCCAATTTCAATAGTTATACTGTATTTTAATCTAAACTCTTTTAATATCGATTAAAAAATAAAAATTTAAACTAACAAAACCAAGAATCAATGATTTTACAGGTATTTTCTTTAAACACTAGGTTATGATAATTATTGTGATTAATATAAGCATTACTTGAAATAATATCGTAATTATGCCATTAATAAACAAAAACAATAAAAATAAATATAACATTTTGTAAATTTTCAACTCAAATACGCTTAAAATTCGCTTTTCTCAATATATTTATGTATATTTAATTATATCAAAATTTGTTTTGCATTTGTATACCATTGGTATAAAACAAGTTTTATTAAAAACCTAAAATTGGAGTTTAAAACCAACAAAAAACTAATTTGAATTTTGAGTTAAATATGGTGTGAATATTGTGGCAGATATTTGACACAAATGTCATGTAATGGCTTAACATATTATGTATGCATTCAAATCATTACCAGTTTTCGGTCACTCAATCACTGAGTACTGAAGAGTATATACTTTTTATAGAGTATTTTTTGAGTAACTTATCATTACATTTAGTACTTATTTTTCTTCTTTCTCATCATTTTGTAATCATTGATAAGAATCGTATATTTATGTAATAATTCATATCATAACATAAATGACATAATCATATTCAGCATAATTACAAAAATAACATATTCTTATAATACAAATTAGCAGTCATTTAAACGAGAGGCACAGAAACAGAGATCTCATAAATAATTTAAGCGCTTTATATTCAATAAACTTCTTATTAATTTAATGATATACTGTATGTGTCGAGCAAATCAAATGAATTAAATAAACTACCAACATTATAAATGTTGATACACTAATGTCGGTAAAAATAATACCGTATACATTAATATCAAAGTTTAATTATGACATACCCTGCGAATAAAGTGTACCGTTTGGGCAGAGGAACTTGGTTTGTCCGTGATCTCCACATTGATGGTACACCTATGGGGGCAATAATGTAGACCTCATTACTAAATGGTCACAAATGATTATGCAATTGAATAACACGATGTGCGTTAAATGACTATGATTAAATTAAATATATGTCAGGCGTATACATGATTACCATTATGTTTATTGTCATTATTTACAATACCTGACACTTTTGGCTGACGTCGGCGTAGAAGCCATGCGGACGATCGGCACACGAGAAGTCAGACCTCGCGGGTGCGCTCGACAGCATTGGGTAGTCTTTGCCGGGCTCTCCGGGAATGCCATTAGAAGTCCACTCTTCAAAGTTGTCCTCCGATTGCTTTTCAGATCCGCTTTCGCTTTCTTTAGGAGGCGGTGACGACCTGTTGTCTGTATAGGGCTGTGAACTGGGCTGTTGTCCGTCCGGCTCGTCGTTCTCATAATTATTGTGATTCTTGTGATACTCGTCGCTCTCATCCCGAGAATTACTATTACTGTCGTAATCATAATCTGATTTGGCCTCCGATTCCGCTGCAAACGAGTTGTCTTTTATCTGTTTGTTGTCCTTATTATTGTTATTTGACTTTTCAGACGGAAAAGTGTCAAAATGTTTAGAATTAAATGGATTTCTATCGTTAGGTCTGAAAGGTTTTTGCGAATAGGAATAGTTGTCTGAATTATCTTTATTATTAAATTGTGATTTTCGGTGTGAATTCTCGTATCTTCTGTCGACATCACTGAGTGGTTCGTCAAATATCTTTCCCTTCGGCAGAACCTCTCTATTGCCGGACAATTGGACAGTCATAGAGGCGCCGACCTGTTTGGCTGTTCCCATACCTCCCATACCCTCGTCCACTGCATTCACTATAATCTCGGGTTCGGACTTAAAGTTTGATTTCTGGTAAAAGCCCTCAAATGGATGCGGACGAGGGCTAGTGCTGCCTCTCGGAGGACCCGATATGTCTGCGATATCCATCAGTGTCTTGTGAGGAACGGTTATCTTCTGTATAAACGTCGGTCGACTCGTGACGGGTCGTGACGTGACTTTGTTAAGGTTTTTGGGCGCTTCGATCTCATAGAGAGCCGGCCTTTTGAATCGAGAGTCAGAGCTACTGAGCGCTCGCTGTCTGTATTGATAATCGTTATCAGAGTTGTGTGTTTGGAAGTCATTGGGCGGTGACATGTAATGCACTCTATTCGGGGCCTTATTTTGTTTGTTATGATAATCCGTCTCATCGTCTTCTCCCTCATCACTGCTGAGCTCTATATCGAAAGGCGATTGTCTGTCATTGGATTCCCTGTCCTTTGTTTCGTGTGATGAATGACTTTTGGAAAACAATGGCTTTTGCGGAACAGAGTTCCTAAAGGAGTTGCTATTCTTATAATTCACGTCTTTATAATTGAATAATGAGTTCGGATTAAAACGATTTGTTTGGTATGAAAAATGCTTTTTCATAGTGGCGTCCGTTTGTGGCTTCGGTCTAATAATCCCCTTATTATTAAAATTGTTATTATTATTAATATATTCGCTATATTTAGGCGCCGGTAAAGTAGACATTTTGGTGTAATCCCTTTTCGGCAGACCTCTGGCTGANTCTCTCTCTCTCTCTCTCTCTCTCGTTATGATCTCTTATTTTACTTAAAAGATAAGCAGATTTTTGACTGAAAATGAGAGAGAGAGAGAGAGAGAATAATTACAATAATAAAGCGTCTAAAACAATAGTCATGGAAAAATATTAACCAGTTTTTTAAAATTAGAAATTAGTTGATATAACAGTGAAAAAAGTGCCGAAACACACACAACACTAATCATAATACCGATAGGTTTATGGGTAGGTATGGACGGGTAGTCTGTGCCATAGTATGGGTGGATGAGCACCACTGCATCACTGCTTCTTTCCGTATAGTCTCCGCACTT